GATCGGGCAGGAGGAGCCAGCTGCTCGTTTGCCGAAAAAGCAACGCCAACAAACGCATATGCCATCGACGTAGTTTGTTGGTAGTCGCGGGGTGGTGGTTTGCTCTCCCTGCCAAAAGCCTGGGTCGATCTGTTGTTTTTTCACATCAAGCTTGTTGACTTAGTCCGGTGGCTCTAAGAAAAGAGCAGGAGATCGCTGTCCTTGAGGTAAGGATCGGTATCTGCTAATGTTGACCCCAGATCAATAAACCCCTGGTTGATTAATAGGGGGGAATCCCCTTTTAGTGGGGATTCATCACTTTTGGAGAGAACACCCCTAGTAATGGGACAGGTTTAGTAATCCGGGTTCAACATTATAGTGGCAAATGGAAGCACTGGGAGAGGCGATCGCCGAGGTACCCTGAGTTACCTCACGCCCCTGCACCTCGCCTGTCAAGCGAACAGTGTGGAGGCGCGGCTTTGGTAAAAAGGACATCCGATGGCCCAAGATCATTGGAAATCCCTGGTTGATTGATAGAGTGTCTCATTAAATAGGGGCTTCCAGATTTCTTGTGTTTTTTGGTTGAGACCCCTGCATCTCTCTGCCAGGTTGGCCAAACCCATTGTTGAAAGAACATCTTTTTTGGCTTAACACCACCATTGATTTTAAGCAACCTCCTGTTGGTTGCTCTGTAGAATGCAAAAGGGGAGCTTTTGTCATACACCTTTAGAGCTGTTCATCAACGCGAAGAGAACCGTGACAACAATGCACAGCAGGTCTGACCACAATATTTCGATTTCCGTCCCCGCAGCAAATTGAAGAGCCCTTTTTGGCTCGAACGTGCGGCCAAGGTTTGACACGAACAGCCGTGGAGGTGTCCACAGTGGGAGGTGTCCCTTTTTGGGGTTTCTTCAAACGAGAAGCCAAGGGACAGACCAACCGTTGGCCTTTTTGGAGTGGCGATGGTTGATTTTCTGACAATGTTATGCACAATAACTGTATCATGTTGCAATGCGTTTTGTCATAATCTTGAGTGTTGCTAGTTGTTTTTTCCTAAATTGGTATCAGCTCGCCTTTGAACAAAATATGCTAACATATGTGCATTCCGTTTCCTTGTTGCAATGTGCAATGCTGTATCACTTTGTTTCACTTGATCTATGATTAACCGGATATATGTAAAACGAAGCAACAACATCAATCCAGGGTCCGGGGGTACCATAAATATACATATATATATATATACATATGTGTATACATATATATATATATATATATATATATCGTTCAGTGGCGCACGGGGTGTAGGTCCTCTAAGATGGGGGGGGGCTGGGGACTGGGGCACGGGCGCAGCACGGGCAGAAAATTCATTCATCATCTGCCTTTCATTCATTCTGCCAAGGACAGGAAGGTTTTCTTTTTTGTTTTGGTGTTTTTTCCTCCTTTTCTTTGCTCCATCTTTTGGGGGTTCAGGGACACCCCAAGAAACACCATCCATATGTGGGCTCCCCCATTGAACGGCAAAGCTTCTTGGAGCTTTTGCCCAATGTTCAAAAGCTTGTTTCCTTATTTTTGTCCGGGTTCGGGTCTGACATTTGGACAATGCCTCTCAGATGCTCCAAGTTAATGGTCAACTCAAACCGCGCTTCCTTTGGTTTCCCTCGACAACAAGACTAACACACTTGGAGCCCTTGCGGTGTGTTTTGAACTTAGCGCACCGAAGCCCTCGGGTGGGGTCACGCATTCAGAATGCAGAGAATAATGGCAATATTTTCCTTGCCAAGAGTTCTTGCACGCTTTCGAAGCCTGGGGGTTAATTTTAATATTGCAATTCTTTTCCGTGATCCAGAGATCGATTTTTGGGGCGCCCGCAGAAATAGGCGGGTTGGGTTTCTCTTCCAGACCGGGGGGTTGTACCCCAACTTCTCTCCCAAAGGAGCTTCGGAGCTCGTGGGAGCGATGGTTTTCCCCACGTGTCGAATGCAAGAGAAGGAATTTGGGGAGGGGGGTGAGCTCAATTCCATGTTGGTTCCATTTTACGTTTGGGGCCACAATACTAGATTGGAATTGGCGTCCTCCACGTGAATGAGCCGATGCTTTTTGGTGGGTACGCTCTTGAGGACAGGCGAGTTTCCAGACCGAAAGGAGTCCCAAGGGCACACCGCAAGCTTTTCCTTTCGGTGGTTTTGGGCATAGGGCCGGCGACTAATACGAGCGGAACCGGCGATTTCGGCCTCGAGTTCGAATTGCCTCTCTTCCAAGCTCTTGCACAAATTTCAGGCTGAAACTCATGGATGCGCGGATGACATGGGTCTCTATTCTGAGAGAGCCTCCTTTTTCGTTGGTTTTACTGACTACTGTTCATGCCACGCTCTTGGGAATGTCTTGATGCTAGGGGGGATGTTCAGATAATTCTATCCCCGGATTAAAGCACTCTTGGTTGATTGGGGTGTGTCCCATTTGGAGAACACCCCCCGTTTGCTGCAGGTAATTGGGAAACTGGCCCAGGCCACCTCCAAACCGCCCCAAACTGCCTAACAAGTGGCGGATTTTGAGTGGAGATAATTCCTCCTTGAGGGTTCCTTCTGTTGATCGGTTGCCCACACATTTGTAGATTCTTTGTATCAGTTCTCCAGAAATCCCACCTGTGCGTCGAACAAAAAGCAGTTCAAAGAATTCACCCCCACCTCTTCTCCTTTCGTTTTGACGGAAAAGGCAGGAGCCGAATATTTAGCATATATCTCGATCCTCATTTTTTTTTTTTTTTGTGTGTGTGTGTGTTTCAACACCTGGCCAGCAAAAACATGCGACCCCACCGGCCAGGGAGTGACGGCTTTGCTGCAGGACACGAAGCAGGCGCCTTCGGTTTTGTTTGGGGGGGCTACCTTTTTGGGCGGTTAGGGAAACCAAAAGAACACCTGGCATTTTTTTGGTTGCCCCCATACCCCTTTGTCTCGTCAGTCACCTCGGACAGTCTTTGGACCTTTGGACCTTTGGGAAGTGTGTGGGTGTCACGCCGGCACGTGCCGGCTTAGTTGGTGTGGACGAGGGAATGCGCGGTGACGTTCACAGCAGACGGGACCAGTGTGAACGGGACCCAGCAGGGCACGCCGGTCACTGAGCCCAAAGAAGGAGACAACATCAATTGAAGGCCTTTGCGTCTGGTACGGCACACACACACAGTGGTGATCTCATCGAAGAACCTTGAGTCACACAAGTTCAGGCCAGTTCTTTGGATCTTGCGTCGACTTTCGAATTTTCCGGGGCGAATCGGGTTGAGGTATTTGGATGCGAGAGGTGGCAAGCCTGGGCTTCAAAGATCATGCACTGGTGGCGACTTTTAAGTGAGTTTCCTCGTCGGCAACAACACATTTAGTTTACTTGCCCAAAGCCGACCTTCCGACCTTCCAGTTCCCCTTTTTGCTCCACATTTGGTCATGGCCCCTAAAGGTTAACCTTGTATTTCTGCGTCCTTTTGTGCAACTGAGTAGAAGGTAGTCTGTGGTTCCCTACTATAGTCTATAGTGGCTTGGCAAGGCTTCTTCCGACTCGTATCAAGGTGGTTTCCATTTCGCACAGCCTGAATTTTGCAGCGCCTAGGTGGCAATCCTTGTGTTTCGCCTCGTGACCAATTTGGTTGCCAAACGAGGGTACCCTTCATTTTGTATGTTAAATTAGTTGTGGCTGTATGGAACGTTTTGAGAAAACAAGCTTTCATGTTTCGAAGTCGTTTTGTGGTTGCCTTTGCCTTTCATAAGATCCCCAGGGGTAATTTCCTGTGGGAACTAGCAAGCATGACATTGGGCGTGACTGGCAAGTGTTTCGCTTTTAGGGGCACCAAGAACACACAGATGGATAATAATTCCACACACTCCAGATAGCAATTGGGCGACACTTGATTTGCCCTGAGAAAGGCTCCTGCTTGGAATGCGGGTTGCTGAGATATGCGTTTCATGTTTCGGGGCGGGTTCTAATAAACGGGCTCCGATCGCTTGCGCCAAAAGCCAGTCAGTGTAGCATCCCCAAGGAACCAATTTGGCAGGACCCATTTACGGGCACCCAATACATATGTATGTGTGTAGTTATCCTATATATATACATACACACAAAATGGCACCCAACATCCAGACATGTATATAAAACACCCATATCCGAAAGACACAGAGCCATGCAAATTTGCCACCCCATATTTGCAGGCCACCTCCTTAACACCTCGAAGACAACCAGCAAAACAACGCACATTTTACTGAAGGAGGCGCCAAAAACCCCGCGCGAGACCGGGGGGAATTCGCATTCCTTGGAGGTGGTGGACGTGGACGCGGAGGACACGAAGCGCCGCTCTGCCGAGGCCTCCCTGAGGTTTTCTGCCGACGGGGGGCCCTTTCAAAGGCGCTCCCCGGGTCCCAACCAGAGCCACGGCCTTTCGGACGGTACCAAGGGTTGGAGATTTTGGACATTGAAAAAACAGTCGCAAGTTGGGTTTTTATACACAATCAAATTGTTGGACAGCACCAAGGAAGTTTTGGACAAGGGGAAAGAGCAGTTGCAAGTTGGGGGGTGCTGGTTGGGGGGCTCCACCGTGTTCTTTTCCCTTCTCTGTGGGTCCTGGAGGGGTAATTTGAGTCAAGGTGGCAAAACCACTGGGCACAAGAGAGGTTTCAGCTTGAGGTCAAATGGCAGCCTAGCCCTAGACACCATATAAGTCACGAGCGATATTTTTGGTAGTCTACTGCTGGTTTGAAGTTGGGGGGACAGATTGCAAGTCAGGGCAGTTTCCCGCGGTTTCCGCTTCCTTGCGCCTTCCGGCCGAAGGCGTTAAGCAACAACCCACAGATCCACCGGCTGGTGCGGAAATATCGCGCCTCGGACAAAGGAGTATTGCGGGGCAAGGGGGATCCAGCAGAATCTGGGCAAATTCCCGCCAGCTCACATGTGGCTGTGGGTCAAAACCAATGGGATCCCATTTTTGGGTAGGTGTACCACCCATTTTAGAACCAATTTTGGTGGTTGGATTGAATCGGATGTTCACTGGAGGTACGATTCGGATTTTGACCCATGACCATGTATGGAACAGGGTCCCGCATGCTCACGTTCCAGGTTCCCGGGCTCAAGATTCTTCGGACAGACAGAGGTTGCATGGTACGGTTCGCAGCATCTGAAGGGACAAAAAGGCCGAAGCCTTGGTTTTACCTCTGGCTGTTTTGCTTCTACAAAAAATGGGGGGGGGGGGGGTGATTTTTTGAAATGGCGGGTTCCCTTTTGGTTTTGAAATCACAAAAAAATGGGACACCCTCAATCAAAGACCCAACTAGCCTCTCAACCGGCAATCGGTTTCCGCACTTTCAGCATGGGCACACACGCACACACAAGCTTGAGTCGACAAACTTTGAACTCGTTTTGCCAGGTTTCTTCAGAAACATGCCCAAAGCTTTTGAGCCACTCATCCCAGTTTTTCCAGACACCCGCTTCCATTCGGGGATCTGGATTTCCACAACCAAAACGAGTTTCCAGCCGTGGAAGTGAGGCGCCCAGCTGGACGAGCGCCGCAAGGCGCAGCTGGTGGAGCCGGGAACCCGGAGCGAGCCACGCTTTCCAGGGCCTGGAAAAAGAGAGGCAGAGGTTGGTTGGATAAGAAGATAATACATATATATATATATATATGTTTTATATATATATAAGATATGTATATGTATATATATATATATACATATACATATATATATATATAATAATACAATTGTTTCAACTCTTTCTGACTCAGGTCCGCAAACAGGAGGTTGCTGAATTTGAGAAACTGGGCCGGGCCTCTTTGACAGTATAACATAACTTGACTTCCTCAGGCCAAAGAGACGAGTCTTCCCCATAGGACTGTCATGAACCAGGTTTTGTCTTTTTGCCGTTTCCGAAGGCGAAACCGTTGGAGCGTGGTGAGGGTTACATATCATGCTATGGGATGCACCACCTTGAAACCATGGGACACTCATCGTTTATTGTTTGATCCCTCCAGGGCTTCTTGGGTGTTGCAGGTGTTCGCCCATGTACAGCAGGGGGATCCCTGTTTTGAAGAGGGCCAAAAGGCAGCCCCTGGTTGGCGGGCGTCCAAAAGTGGTTCTAAGTAAAGCCAAATGAAACCCGAGGCCCACTCAACAAAGCAACCGATTTGAAGGACCATTTGTCGAGCCATGTTTCTGAAAGCCGAGCTTTTGGACCTTGAAACGTCCTTTTGGTTTCCTAGTCTTCTTGCTGGCGCGATAGGGAATGACCCAGGGTGACCCAGGGTGTTGGGCATGCACCTGGGGTTTCCCTCAAAGGACACCATAGGGGATTGTTTATGGGGCCATTCCCTCATTTCCTGCTGAGAACCAGCAAGTCTTGGTCCTTTTTAGCCAGAATCCCAACAGATAAAAACTTTATTCCCGGCCAGCAGCGAGGGTTTGGGAGACGCCGCCATGGAACAACCCCCGGCATCCAACCGTGGTTTGTAATCGCTTCCTGAACGGGATGTTTCGCGCTGCTGTAAACATCCCTGAACCTAAAAGCTTTGTGTCTTTGTTGGAAACACGCCAACCACCGTTCTTTTTTGCCCAACAAGAATCGACCGAATCTGACCTTGACATGTCCAATCCCAGCCCACATCCCGGGAAACAAGTTCACCTTGTATTCCCAGGTCCTGGCAAGTGACCATTCCAGACGGAAATGGCCGGCACTGTCCGCTCACCCAACTGGGAGAGACCTCCTTTTCAGGCTCCGAGGTTCGGCTACCGTGCCAGATTGAGCGCCGACGGCGCTCGAGCGCGCTGAATCCTGGCGCTCAGCGCGCAGTGAGGCGCTGAGGCGGCGCCAGAGCAAAGAAGTTGCCGCAAAGTGGCTCAGTCCCAGAGGCCGGGACCGGACGCGAAGCAGCTGTTGCTATTGAGCCGCAGCCAGCCCGGATCTGTGGCGGAGAGGAGCCACTGATTCAGAGGAGTACAGAGCACGCCCCAAAACTCGCCGCTAAATTGGAATCGCAGGAAGGCCGAGAGGCTCCTGTTGAACACAGACGGCTATGAAATTTAAGAGTTGGAACCACCTGTGCGGACATGCATCCCCACCAAATTCTGATGCCCATTTCGGGTCCAACCACATACATGTCACAACGCAATGAGTAAACACGGTGAACCATGTGGTTGGGTTGCTCTTGCCTTGGGAATTTGTTTGTTTGATTGTTTGTTGCCCAGACAGCTTTAGTTGTACGGGGTTCTTAATTCTACAGAGGCGGGGTTTGTTTTGCTGGATTGCAATTTCGGTCAAATCTCCCATGCTATTTGGGGTCTATGCTGGTGCATATTGTTTGGTTGCTTGTGTGAAGTGGTGAACATGAATCCCCACCGATTTCTCACCTCCACCATTTCGGGTAGTGAATCACCATTCCCACCCAAATGCTGGACCCCTTTTGGTTGAGTTTCTCACTCCAACCTCTTCATGAGTGTTTTCCCCTGTGCCCCCGGTTCCGTGTTTTTCTCCTTTTTTGTGTTTTCTTCTTTCTTTCTCTGGGGGTTGCCGCTTTTAGTCTTTTTTTTGGGGGGGTTGCCGCCGCTGGGGATCGCTGTGAACGTTTCTCCGAGGCAGTGCCTCCACCGGCTCTTCAACTTCTTCGACGTGAACCAGGATGGCGTCATCCACCCGGAGGCGAGAAACGGCTGCGGGTCAAAAATAGGTACCCAAAATGGAGCCCTTGCAAGTGGCAACATGGACCAAAACCTGTGGTCCCCTGGTGGTTTAATTTTGACCCATACCCACATGGTGAACGGGTGAACCAGGAAAAAACCGGGGAGGACCAACTCCCTGGGGTTGGCGAGGGGGCCAAACTGCTGGGCTCGGGTTTTCTTTTTGAAGGGATTAGAACCGTTTACTTAAATGAGTGTGTCATGAGGAATCGGAGCCGGTAGAACTACGAGAGAAGGGGTAATTTTACACGCATGGTTGGTATTGATGGTGGTGGTGGTGGTGGTGGTGGTGGTGCCGCCGAGGGGGAGGGAATGATGCCTTATGAGCAATTGAGGCCCATCCACGCCCCGCAAGAAGTTTATGGGGGATAGTCCCAAGCGGGCCCCGAGTTTCTTTTCTCCCCAGGTTTGGCGTGGCCGTTTTGCTGTGTGGTGCTTGGGTTTTGGCTCGTCCGGTGTGTCTCAAAGTCAGTCGGTGGCCCCTGTCTGTCGGTCGGTTCCCCTGGTTGGTCGGTCGGTCTCTCAGTCGGTCAGTCGCCCCGGTCGGTCGGTCGGTTGGTCGGTCGGTCGGTCAGTCGGTGGATTGGTCGGTGGATTGGTGGGTCGGTCAGTCGGTCCCTAAACCAGCCCTGAGCCAACCCCTAAACCAACCCTAACGTAAACCAACCCCAAATCAACCCTAAACAAGTCCTAAGCCAGCCTTAACTACCCTACCCCAACCAGCCCTAAACCAACCTAAACCAACGTAAACCAACCTAAATCAACCCTGAACCAACCCCAAATCAACCCCAAATCAACTCAAATCAACCCTAATCCAGTTCTAAACCACCCGAAGCCAACCCTAATCCAGCCCTGAACCAACCCTAAACCAACCCTACACCAACCCCAAACCAACCCTAAATCAACCCTAAATTAGTCCTAAACCAGCTCTAAACCAGCCCTAAGCCAACCCTAAACCACCCTAAGCCAACCCTGAACCAAACCTAAGTCATCCACAAGCCAGCCCTAAACCAGCCCTAAACCACCCCAACCAACCCTACATCAACCCTAAACCAACCCTAAATCAACCCCCTACACAAGTCCTAAACCACCCTAAGCCAAACCCAAGCCAGCCCTACACCAGCCCTAAGCCAACCCTAAACCACCCTAAGCCAACCCTAAACCAACCCTAAACCAACCCTAAACCAACCTAAATTAACCCTAAATCAGCCCCAAACCACCCTAAACCAAGCCTAAGCCAACCTCAAAAAACCCTAAACCAACCGAAGACGAAGCCTAAGCCCGCCCTAAACCACCCTAAACCACCCTAAGCCAACCAACCCTGAACCAACCCCAAACCAGCCCTAAGCCAGCCCGAAGCCAGCCCTACCGCCTAAACTAACCCTAAACCAACTCTAAACCAACCCTAAATCAACCCTAAACCAGTCCTAAACCAACCTAAAACCAATTCTAAACCAGCCCTAAACCAGCCTAAGCTAACCCTAAACCACCCTAAGCCAACCCTGAACCAACCCTGAACCAACCCTAAGTCATCCACAAGCCAGCCCTAAACCACCCCAACCAACCCTGCATCAACCCTAAACCAACCCTAAATCAACCTTACACAAGTCCTAAACCAAGCCAACCTAAACCAGCCCTAAACCAACCGTAAACCAGTCCTAAACCAGCCCTAAACCACCCTAAGGCATTGTGAGCCAACCCTTAAACCAGCCCTAAACCAACCATACACCATCCCCAAACCAGCCCTAAACCAACCCTAAACAGTCAATTGTTACGATGACATTTATGACCCAGAGGTTCACTGTGCAGTTGCATGTTCAAGACAGGTTGTGCATTAGAACAAACGTCTTTGCACATCCGATTTGGCTCAAGAAAAAGGTGTGCTGCAAGCACGCACGTTGCCCCAATTTAAGGGCGAGGTCGCAGTCCTTTCTGTGGCTGCGACCGTAAAGGTGGCACATGGAAGAGGCCCCCACCTGTGGAAGCCGCGGTGCGAAGGGCTCGAGCTCGCCTTGACAATACTCTTCAGCAGATTATTGTGGATCAGTACAAGCAGCAGGGGCGACGGTTTTGAGCTTGGTTTCGCCGCATGCCGTGTGCTGATGAAGGCTCTCTGGTTAGGACGACTAGCGCGTCCCGATTTGATTAAGCCAATAGGAGACCTTGCTTCGCATGCGCAGAAGCGGTCACGCAATTGTGACAAGCAGTTGCACAGACTAGTCTGTTATATCAATAGCACCGTAAATAGCACATTGGTAGGAACTGTGCAGGACTCGTTCGAGGACTTGCGCCTCGCTCTCTACGTGATGCAGACTTCGCAGGCGAGAAGGATGCTAAGTCAACATCCGGTGGTTTCCTGGTGTTGATTGGCCCACACACACACACTTCCCTCTCGCGTGGGTGTCGAAGCGACAAACTTCTCCACCACGACGCCGGAAATAGTGTCACTTGCGTACTCCCTGTACCCCAAGAGGCACTACCCGCAGTCAGCCTGTGGGAGCTGATGCTCAGTAGGCCGATGCACCAAGAAATCGGATGCACCAAGAAATCGACGAGGATAATCAGGCGACCATCCTTGTAGCTAAAAAGGGGTTTTCTCCTAAGCTCCGACGTGTTCAACGCACGCATAAGGTGAACCTTGCATGCATTGCAGAGCAACTCGAAAATGAAAACATTTCCAGAGAGTACGTGAAGACAGATATGCAATCAGCAGATATTTTCAGAAAGGCACTACCTCCCAACAAATGGGATCATGCCAGGAGGTTGCTCGGCATTCGTGTTGATCTTCCTGATAAGCTTGAAGATGTGCGTGAAAAGATATCCGCCAAAACAGCAGCATTCAAGAAAAAGGCGTGCTGCGAGCACGCACGTTGCCCCAATCTAAGGGAGAGGTCGCAGTCACGGCGGGGTTCGGTTCTGTTAAGGTCCCGGGTTTCCCCCCCGTTGCGAAAACTGTGTTTCCCTCTCTTTTGAGTGAAACCAACCCTAAACCAGCCCCAAACCAACCCTAAACCAACCCTAAGCCAACCCTATGCCAACCTCAAACCAACCCTAAACCAACCCCAAACCAGCCTTAAACAAAGCCTAAACCCTAAACCAGCCCTAAACAACCCTAAGCCACCCTAAAACACGCCCTAAACTAACCCTAAACCAACCCTAACCAACCTAAACCACCCTAAAGCAACCCCAAACCAACCTACACCAGTCCTACACCAACCCTAAACCAGTCCTAAGCCAGCCCTAAACCACCCTGAGCCAACCCTAAACCAGCCCTAAACCAACCATACACCATCCCTAAACCAACCCTAAACCGACCCTAAACCAACCCTAAACCAAGCCTAAAAAAGCCCTAAACCAACCCTAAACCAACCCAAAACCACCCTAAGCCAACCCTCCGGGCAACTGTTCCTTGGGTCTTTGGGTACCCGGTATCAGGTAACCAATACTTGATAGTTTGGATTGGTGGCTTGGAGATTCGAACGCAGTTAGTCTTGAAACCAACTGGAGAAGGTTTGTTTCGGGGAGAGAGACAATAGAGCGAGCCCGAAAGTTGTTTTTCAATTTCTTTCGTCGACTTTTGAATAACAACAGCAACCGCAAAAAGGAGGACACTGCTCTTGTATGAAGGCGCCAACCGCACGATTTTCCGTGGGTCGGTTGGAGTAGGCGGCCGCAGCCAAAATGGCTTTGTAACTCAGGCGACCCTAAAATGGTGGGGCTTCTTTTGGCCGTCCTTCAAAATCAACAGGGGGTTCCTGCAACCAAAGCTGTACCCACAAAAAACCACCTCAAAGATGCACATGTGGCGGTTTTGAACCGACCCCAGGAGTGGGTGGACAGTATGACGCTGCTGGCGGAGTTTTTCGAACACCACAGCGACCAGTCCATCCAAAAGATGCTCTTCGGCCTGCCTCAGGACCATAAAGAAGCGGGACAACCCTTGTTTGCCCTTGTTTGGCCTTGTTCGCTGAACCTGGCCTGATTTATTAGCCAAACTCAAAATCCGGGCAGATGAAGGTTAGTAAGGGACAATCCCATCTTCTTGATTCTTTACATGGTGCTGGGTAGACCATTGTCATCTTAATACCTTGGCCCGAAGTTTTGGCCTCGTTTCCCCCCTTTTGGCCTTGGCCGACCGCGAAGGCGAGCTGTGATATGATCCACCCAGAGATTCTTGCGCTTTTGACTCTGTCTTAGCAGAGGTGCTAAGAATTCATTGGCGGTCTATTGGTAGTTTGAGGATGAGAAAGGAAACCCTTGTTCGCCATTCAGGAGGCCGAAGCCGAAGCTCGATTTTGTTTCGGGTGGTTTTAAACATCACCTTCTGGTCGCCAAATAGAAAGTAAACTCCTTTTGGCGGGGTTTTGCGAGTCGATTTCAACTTCAATTCGCTGAAGGCGATGGTTGATTTCTCCCTTTTGTTTTTTGGGACCAGAAATGGACAGTACTGACTCTTGCGCATATTTCACATCTTGTTGTTGGTACCCAAGCCGCAAATGGAAGTCAATCATCACTTGGGCCAAATTGAACGCAAGTCTCCGGGTGACGTTCATTCCCAGGGTGTGGAGTGAACGACTTTTCTGGGTCACCTCTGTTTCAACCCACCCAGTTCCGGGAAAGGATCTCCTTTTTTTTCACAGCGAATCTCAATTTTCAGTCATTGCAAACTCGAAGATGACTTCAAAGTTCTTTGGTTACACATGGGATCGGCGTCCAGAGGGTAGCTTGGGATATGCGGAGGTCAGCCACCTGGTTCCGCTTAGGTTTGAGGAGATCGACAAGGATGACAGCGGGTTCATTGACTGGCAGGAGTTCAAGGCGAAGCGCATGCAGTCCGGTTTGAATTGGAGGAGCGTTAAAAGCGAACACACATGTGTGTGTGTGTGTGTGTGCGGAGTGACAGAATGCCCTGTCACCATTTTTTCAATTTCGCAGCAGGGGGATCAGGCTTCCAGTGACTGACCTGATCCAACGAAGCTAGGTCACTGGAAGGGAAGTAGCTGAGGACGCTCAGCTACGTACCTGCTTCCCAACAAGGTCCCCTCTTTGCCCGCGGAAATCAAGCCGATACTCATCGTACTCGAGACTCATCAGTTGTACTCGAGACTCATCAGTTGTACTCGAAAGATTAGCACTCTCCATCTGGAGTTCAAGTGTGTACACCCCATTCGTGGGGAATCCTCGGGTGTACCCATTGTGTGACCCCGGGCCGGCTCTGTCGGAAAATTTGACCTCAACGTGCTTATCATAGAAAAGCGGAATTTCACATTTAACCAGGAACGAGGTTTCACTAAAGGGAAGAAAGCCGTCAGTTCATAGTGACGTCTCACCGCTGCGGATAGCTGCCGATTTTCATTGCATGTCTTGACCATTGGTTGAACTTGTTGCTCGTATCACTGCGGTTGGAGATTGCTGACTTGTATTTGCTTCCCTTTTGCATGTCGAGTGATTATTGCAGTTGCGAGCTGCTAACTTGCCTTTGCATTGACTTGAACGTTTTCGAGCCTGAGTATCTCAAGGCGGAAGTGCGCAAATTTAGAATCGGTTGCGTCACCATGTCTCGACGGGATGATCGTGATAGATCCAGGACTCGACGCAGACGTGATCGGAGTCCGTCCCCTCAAGCTCACAAAGCCCGCCGACGTGAGCACAATGACAACCAGGTCGCAGAGAACATGGATTGGAACAACTTGGTCTCATGGCAGCACAACTCCGGCTACAACGCTGCTAACAACTTTCCGATGATGCCCACCAATTTTCAATCGACTCACAACCCCACACAACAATTCCAATACCCGGCGATCAACTACATGATGCCGATCCCTCCCGATCCCACGCCATCCAAGTTCATGCCACCAGTGATGCCACCACCGGTCACTACTTCCCAACCTTCACCATCACCTGCACCTCCTGCGGCTCTACCGGTTCGTCCTCAGAAAGCCTGGCTTACTCCATCACCTGACTGGACACCAGGAGACGGCATGTTTGATGTCAACCAGCTCTATAACTTCAGCCTGCCCATGACTGTTGCCAACACTCCGCATGGCAACCTTCGCGACATGTCCGGCATGGATATTAGAGACGTTCGCCTGGTTCAGGTTATCCACGGGGGCCTCACCAACTGGCTCCTCCGACCGTTTGCACATGGCCGCTTCGTGACGTGGGAAGGCTTTCGCACCCGCACCGAGGCCTTGCTTTGGAGTACCTGCTCCAAATTACTGCGAAGATCGCAGTCACTTAACCTGCTCACCCTGGAGAAGGACCTTGCCAACACGATGGGTCTCAACATTGATGACTTCAATCAGCGCATCAAGGTCCACGACCATTTGGCCAACTTAGTACTTCAATTTCTTCAACAACATCACACCTCTCTCGCACCCGCGGCCCAGACCGACGACATGGTCAAAAAGTTCAATGACTTGAATCGTGCTCACGAACTTCTTCAGGCTCAGTATTCCGCATCACTTCGTGCATCGGCTTCTCCCACAATGACAGACCAGAAGGAAGATGCAGAGTTGGTTACACCACCACCGGTCAACCACACACCATCCTCGTCACCTGCCAGCTCTCTTCCCACAGCCAGCGCCGCTGCCCTGGATGGCAAGTCGTTTGATAGCGTGGCGCAACCTCGGATCATGCAGTCTCTTCACGGAATGTCGCCACCGCCGTCCAAACCGGCGGCGTCACAATTGCTCACCATGCACAGCACGTCGGAGGAAGTTGTCAAGTACTACACATGGACCAGCGACCAACCACGCCTTTTCCTCAAGCAAGCACCCACAACAACCACTTTGGCATCGCTGGTTAAGTGGGCCAACCACCCGTCCCGGCTCAACGGCAACAAGTCATTAGATTCTATGGCTACGCAACTTCTGCAGGCGAAGCAACGCATGCCGAAAGGCGATGCCCCCACTCTCGGGGCAATGGCGGCTTCATGGGGATTGGAGCCCGGCTATCTTACCAAACTCACTGAGAAGGCATTGAGTCACCTCATCGTGACCGCTCGCCTGCTCTGTGGATGAGCAACCATCATGATGATCTTCGTTCTCATATGAGCCCGGAGCGGCAACATTGTCACGGATGAGTTCAGGTGAAAATTCGTCCGTCATGTGTCTGCGTTGCACCTGATTGACCTTGTACTTGCTTGTTCTTGCATTGCTTCTTGTGTGATTGGCTGACATGCTTGTATTCATGTCGCCGCCTTGTGGTAGATTTTGTTGGTTGCATCTCATCATGTTGGATGAACTTCGTCACTGCGGGATCTATGATGACGTAGCACAATGGCAGTCGCTGGACGACCTTCTGCACTCGTTCACCGTATTCTCTACGTGCTGGCATTACTGTTTTCCTGGATTACCACTACCGTCAATTCCAATTGAGGAGTACGAATCCATTACGCAATTACCGTGGCTGGGTCTCATCCTCGAGGTCTTAGTTGTGGTCCGGATGGCCCTTCAGATCCCGAATCGTGCTATGTCCAGCTCTAATCACACCGTGGCTAACAGATATGAGCTTCATAGATGTCGGTGCGCTGCCTATTTATTGATCAGTTTCTTACAACGTCTTATTACACAAGATCACGGCTACTTCCCGCCGTTCTTTGAAGTCCTCCACTTCTACAAGACTTCTCTCTTGTGTGAAATCATGCACTCGACTTTCGCTGACACACGACATCTACGCTCATTGCGGGCGCGATTTCCTGACCTCTATGACTTCATTTATGATCCAGGTCATCATCAACAACCGTGCGTCTACATTCGCCTTTCCCCATGGCACACACCGTACTATGTTGGGGCGACTGATCAGGATGTACTACGTCGTGAACACTCACGCAGTCGCAAATTTCTACAATTGCTTCGTGGACGACATGCCTTCTTTGAACCGGCGCTTCACTACTGGAAACGATCCAACACCTACTGGCTCTACTGTGCTGTACCAGTGGAAATCAAGCTTCCAGTTTCCTCGGTGTGGGTCCAAGAAAGCAAATGGCAATACCTGCTACGCCCGCATTTAAATGCGCCCTGGGTACACAGAACCTTGCGCAAGGTGGGCTTTCGGGAACACCTTGTAGACTTTCGACGCCACTCGTTGTCAACTCCCACTTCCATCGGCTTGCACAAGCGCTTTCGACGACGACTACATCCGGATCTTCAACGACAACTACGACCGGACGCACTGGATGACATTCAAGCCCACTACTCCATTCTCTATCAGCTGGGATCGAATACAGGAGCGTCGTTCCAAGTCATGCGTGACCTACTGTCGGCCGCCTTCCCACCCACTCAGCTGTACTACTCATTGCGGCTCGCGGTTTTCGTCAACGAGCCCTTCCGCTCCAAGGCCCAGAAGCTCCTCGCCCAGGTACTGCGCAAACGACGGCTACAACTACCCTCCACCCTGACACAGCTACTTCTGCCGCCGCTACATGTCCAGAATTGGAAGGCTCGACTTGGCACATGGTTGCAAAGCTGGATTGCTTCCCATCGGGATCTGTTCCCCTCTCTTTTCATTCCAAAGATCCGGGTTGTGGAAACCCGCAGCGCCACATTGGGCGACAAGATATACAACTATCGCACATGGCAGCGCAAATGGACGCCTGACACCTCCTTTCCGTGTCGCTGTTTGGACATCGATGATCACCATCTACTCCGTGCACATGGTCACGCAGTAATGGTGGATGACTTTTCTCGCATCAATGCGGACATTAACGTGGAAATCATGACCGCCTCAATGAAGGATCAGTTTTTCGGTGATGTCGACTTACTGCATCAACGTTTCACCACGCAACTTCGTAAACTTGCTCGATGCTGGCAGGTGCAGGGTTCCGATCTACTTTCAGATCTACAACCGGTCGTAGCTCAGTTAATGGAGACCCATCGGATCAACCTCCAAGATCGGGCTTATTGGTCATCGACATCGTTGCAACGCACTGTGGCCTCTTTGTCGTCATGGGTAGTTATCCCAGCGGATCATTTTCCTTCCCGTGCACACGTAGTGTGCCCGTCCCTGTTTGCCATATTGATGCGGAAGACATTCTGCGCGGGGGATGTTTTCTCACTTTGCCGTGAGTCCGCAGCATCGTTTCGCTCTGAAGTGGTAACCACGGTACCTTCTCTCCTACGTCAACGATACGCATGGGGACTTCGACTTCAAGCACCTTTGCCCACAGCGCGCATCCTTCCAAAGCCGACCAAGGACTGGCAGAAAGCTCGACCCATCATCTCATTCTTTCGCACATGGGCAGCTCCCTTCCTCACGGTCTTCGGTGCGCTCATATTTGAACTCACCAAGGCGGCTTTCCCCGACATTGCAGGCCAGCTCCCGGTACAAGAACTTATCCAGCAGCTGTGGGAAGCACTGTCGAAAGCAGATCCTGATGAGTACGTCCACCTGGTGTTGCAAGACCTGTCCGGCTTCTTCACGTCCATTCCTACGGAACGATTCCATCAGGCACTTCAAGTGCTTCTCCATCGATATGATCAAGTTGTTGGCCTTCGCAGTTCTTCGCAATGGTCCGTGTACGAAGTCAAGTCAGATCATCGGCGCCGTATGTTCAAAGGGAAGTGGCGCCGTCAAACCAAGATCCCGCGAATCTTTCGTGAACAAGATCTCCGGCATCTCCTCGACTTTGTCATTGACAACAGTCACTTCGAGATCAACGGATACTTGTTCCGCCAAGAACGAGGAGTTGCTATGGGATCACCAGCCGCGCCACCGTTGTGCAATTTGGTTGCTACGGTTGAAGATTTCTTTTGGCACCAAACCATGATTTCTCTGCGGTTTTGCATGCCTGACATTGGTGTAATTTGGCATGAGCG